TTAATTAGTTATATATATATATATATATATATATATATATTGTTAACGAAGACTGTACAGTAGTATTAGGATTTGGGAGATTTTCCTGACTATATCTCTCTAAAATTCCCTTCTCCCCAATTAAAATGAGGCGGTCCTGTGTGTAGCTCGGCATGGCCAGGTGGTTAGGGCGCTCGACTCGCCATCTTCGGGTCGCGGGTTCTAATCCCCGTCACACCAAACATGTTCGCCCTTTCAGCCGTGGGGGCGTTATAACCCACTATTCGTTGGTAAAAGAGTAGCCCAAGAGTTGGCGGTGGGTGGTGATGACTTGCTGCCTTCCCTCTAGTCTTACACTGCTAAATTAGGGACGGCTAGCGCAGATAGCCCTCGTGTAGCTTTGCGCGAAATTCAAAACAAACAAACAGGCATGTGTGTAGAATAATCGGAACCTTATTTTACATTGGTTGGTTGTTACTATTGTTCAGTTAGTTTGTTTCGTCAGTTCAAATGAAAAAAACATATAAACCGTATCTGTGATCCCAGTATTTCACTTTAATCATAGGCTTGTTTTATATTTTCTGGACTTGTATTATTTGTTTTCTAAGCGTTAGTTTTACCAAAATCAAAAGACAAACTGAAATATAATTACTGCTATTATAAAATGGGATTTAGAATTAACAATGCAAAAACATACACACACACACCCCAAACAACACCAAAACCAACGGAAGTCACATAACTGTTAGTGAGATGATGTAATTTCCGATTTGTTTCGATCTGTGAATCTGTACGAGTCTCTATACACTCACGTAGTGTACTTTACACAGATTCTTAAACGCCAATGACTCCAACCTGCATTTGCAACTTGAGTTATTTGTTTTTTACTTCTTCTGACGTGTTATCTAAATCACGTCTTAATTCCAATACAGTCTTCAACGTACAGTACATTCTTGAAACCATGAACAGTGTCAATTATATACTAAAAATGTTCATTTTGTTTGTCATAAAATCATACTCATTTTACAGTATACGAACAACTTATGGCGACTGTAAAGAACTGAGGTAATCAAAGTTTAAATGTTGTAAAATAAGCCCACAAAGAAGTGATTAAAGTGAAATACTGGGATCACAGATAATTACTGAAAACGAAACAAAATAGGAAAGTGGCAGCTTAAGTACGAATGTCTTAGTGAGATATAACAAAATGTAATTCTATATCAATCATACATGATATGTGACGTAATTACGTCTTATTTTTCATACTACCTGTCCAAAAGTTACAGCAATTTTATCAAATACTAAACCCAGGGTCGGTCCTAGAGTACAGGGGCCGGGGTGCAAGAATTAATGGTGCCCTTCCCCCCTGCTACAATGTATATAAAATTATATATATGTGCATGAGAGAGAGAGATTAGAGACAAAAAATATAACCATGCATGATAAATACTCTATATATATATATATATATATATATATA